AAGTTTTAGAAAATTAACTATAAGCACTATTTGTGTATACTCTTAATACAAATTATTTATTTTTCGCTCACGCAAACAACCAGGCCGGGCCCCGGCTTGCAAATGTGACCGTGCCCTTACTGGCTCAGGAACAACAGGTGCAGAAGTAGGTTGACGTCCACTAGCGAAGGGCTACAAACAAGGGTACACATATGCCACTGTCAAAAGGGCTAAATTTGTTTAAACGTACTTACACTGTGTCGTTTAGGGTAAAGGTCGACCAGGATCAAGGCACATGGCATATGGCCTTTTCAACGGAAATTGCACTGACGGGTATACGTACAGGGGATCCGGGAGGGTCTGATGTCACAGAAATCAATCGATACTAGACAGAGTCGTGCATGACAGAGATGTCGTGAAATAGCAAGGTACATAGAAAACGTCACAACTCACTTGCAACTTTCACCAAGTTTGTTTGTGCCTTTATTTATACTCGATATATATCTACAGATAGATCACCCCATTTGGCCATCTTGGCCGCTTTTCGTGGGTGTCGAGTACAAAGTTTGACGACATTTAGATAGGTATTACACAAGTTACGCTGCTTTATTCTCAATCTATGGCTCATTTGCCTAATTTGCATAAATTTGCATGCATAAAGAGACTTAGAACCATGATGTCCCAGCTCGACCATAATAGCACTTATTTCAAAATGATCAGGGGGCATTAAGGTTTCATTGTATGGTACCGACCAAAGTATGTACGGGTACCGGTTGGCTAAGTTTCTTATTTTCTAGGCCTCTTCTGAGAATCTCCTAGACTATAGATTTTCGTGCTTGAGCTCAACCAGTGGATGGGGAGTGGTAAGTACACAGGTACACATATCATAATACAGGTCAGTCCTATTGGCAGTAAGACACGGTGACGTTTCATAACCACCAAGTACACCAATATACTGTTATACTTGTTGTTAATAACACTATCTGCTGTATGTGTAAAGTCGCAAGGCGGCACCCATGCTGTGTGAGAGGTGCATGAGAGCCGCATTGCGACCAATCAGCCTACTGCAGTTTTCCGATAGCACAAATAAGGATAGAATGTTTATGGATTAGTAAACTAGATGCTATCATTGAATTCTAATGTCTATCATTTACAAGAGAAACATTAGAATGCAGTTTGAAAATCGCACTTCAAAGAATGTAGTTTTAACCCCCTATTTCAACAAGATATACTGCACCAACTCCATGTAATAACAAAAGTAGCTATAGCTAGGAGGTTAGGTTGGAGGATCAGTTAACAGGTAACGAAGGTTGGACAGTTACCTGTTATACACCACACAGTATAACAGGTAACTGTCCAACCTTCGTCTGTTAAGGTGTCCTTTCGAAGTATCTCGCACGGTGCGCTGCCGATCAACAAATGTTAGACATATGCATGTGCTGTTAGTGCATGCAATTGAAGGTGGCGGTAAGATATTGGCTGAGTAGTAAGGCTAACTAACTCGGTACAGAGAGGTTAAGGGTTCAATTCCTGTCATTCTTGTGCCCTCGGTTGCGGAGGTAACAGGTACAGGTGGTCAAAAAAAGGGGATAGGTTCCGTCTTCCAACGCCGTGCACTAGCTTGAATTTTATTGACACATTAACAACTTCCACAGTTAATTAACACATTAACAACTGCCCATAAACTGTCATAAATAGTGCTATATTACTACCTCTCCCTACTTTAGGACTACCTGGAGTTAGAAAAAATGTATATATTGTATACACGAAATATATTTTTTGATCTGTAAGTATAAAGAAATATATTGTACTGCACCTTATCTAATCTTAACCATAGAAAACTACAAAGCTTCTGATAAACGACGCGTGAAAATGAAAGGCGATTTCACAAAAGGAAGCAATACTCGCGCCGATAGACATCCAGGCAAAGCTTTCCTCTGTAGACGGAACAGAAAATGAAGTACTGTATTAATTCTCAGGAACAAGGACGAGATAAACCAGGGGAAAACGACTGCCCTCCGGCTGTTATTAGTGAACTGAGCACCGACGCGGTAATTGAGGACATTAATCAAAGTAATTACGACAGAAAAGGGCAACATGTGCCGAAAACCCCGGGGGAAAAGCCTGCTTATTCTGACTGGGCTTGCTTCGTCGAATTTGAAATGTCACAAGATTCTTTGTGTTTGCAATGATACACAGCTCGATGAATTGACAATTTGTGCATTCTAAGGGCTGCAAGAGACCTTTTTTTAATAATGTTAATATTAGTACGAGATGCTGTTCTTCTTAATCTTGCTACATTTTACACTTACACATATAACGCCAGGTACCAAATCGATTTTTAAGACCTTTTCTTTTATTACGTAACGCTACTCTGGAGCTAGATAAAAGCTCGTATGATTTACTATTTTTATTAATTGTTCGCTTTAGGCAGGGGGCAATGCCCGCACAACATTAGAGAAAAACGTACATAATAAACTACAAGTGCATACATCATAAAATACTGCGAAATTATATAACTTTCATGCGGGGTTGAGAAGTTATACAAGGGGGAGCGGTACGATTGAATTGATCTCACACAAGTTCATTTCACACATATATTATTAAGCATGTGGAAGCCATACCCCCTCCCCCATGTCTGTATTGTTTGACGGGACGTTGCCCTTCGACTACTGCCTATCCCATCATACCTTGTGCGCGCGTGCTCCTCTATAGGGGGTGTTTCATATGAAGAGACAACATGAGGTTTTATAGTCTCCCGGGGATCAGCTTGACTTTCGCTTTAATAAGGTGATCAATGCTCGTACAACAATACATTAAAACGTACAAAACTAACTACAGTACATACATCATAAAACACTGCGAGATTATATGACTTTTATGCGGGGTAAGACGTTCTGCAAGGGAGAAGCGGTACGACTGAATTGATCTCTTTTGCACAAATACAATGTATTATTAAGAGTGACAAAGTGATTTATAAGACACACACACCCATGTTTTCATATTGCTCGACGGGACGTTACCTATCCCATCATACCTTGCGCGCGCGTGCTCCTCAAAAGGGGGTGTTTAATATGAAGAGACAAAATGAGGTTTTATAGTCTCCCGGGGATCAGCTTGACTCTGGGCCGTGTCCCTACATAATAAAACGCCAACCCCACGCCCATGTTTGCATTGTTTAACGGGACGTTACCCTTCTACTATTGCCTATCCCATCATACCTTGCGCGCGCGTGCTCCTCTACAGAAAGTGTTTAATGTGAAGACTCCAAATGAGGTTTTATAGTCTCCCGGGGGATCAGCTTGACTGTGGGCCGTGTCCCGACATCATAAACCCCGTGCCCCACGCCCACACGCCCGATTTCCCGTGGGACTTTGCAGGTGAACGCTGCACCTGTCGTGCACAATTGCCCGGATGTTCCGACAGATGGCCCGTAAGTAGTTGTCTAGTCACGGGGCTATGCATCACCAGCACGCGACAAACGTCGATAAAACTACGCCGACCTACAAAGCACAAACTGTCAGCTTTCTGCACATCAATGGCACAATAATGAAATATCGAATCTCATAATAAATGAATCTCTACTTTTCTCATGATGAAAATCCAAAAGAGCGATTTCTATGGATGATGATTTATTATACTTGTCTCACTAGACTTTACTTTTTAAACGAGATAAATGAGAGTGACAATTCGTGATCGGTGTTTTCTCTCCTTCATAATGCCCAGGAACACACAAGGTGTGGTGATTACCACTTCTTTGTGAAGAGCTCTTTCAGAGCTGAATGCGGACTTAATGAGCATTAAGTTGATGAGCGGTAAACAAGAAATGACAGTGTCCATTCCATGGGAACAGAGCCTGGCACGTGCCGGTTGTCACACACGGATTCACACAGACAATATGGTGGAAAATGAGGCGTTGATGTTCCTTTGTTCTTTATCTCCTCCTTTGTGGACAGAGATCACTCTATGATAGGGCGTTATTCAAGTTCTCAAACACCTGCGTCTACTTGGAGATTTGCCAAACAAAAAAAATGACCTCACAGACATGTTATATGTCAATCTGTACTGGCTTCTGGTCAATCAAGCCTCAGTTTGTGAATTTATTCACCATACAGCACCAAGAAACATGGAAAACAGTTGTTCACCAGTCACTTTACTCTGGGGTAGAGCGTGGTTTGTCTTTCAAGACATGTGTACTGTACGACAGTCCCCTCTCTGTAACGATTGTAGAGATCAGTTATGGCAAACGTCCAACTCAGGCGTTCAAGCGCCACCCGTTACACAGCGCCTTACTACACATGCTAATTGACAGAACGATGATCACAGTTTTATCGGCGGTTGGTATATCCTGAGTGTATTCTTGGGTGCCCACTCTGCCAGCATACACATCTGCATCGAAGACCTGTTACTGAGTTACCTTTGGCTTCAAGGTATAAACGATACCTCTGGTTTCCTCCATATACGTAGTTTAACCTACACCTCTCATCGCACACCTGGCAAAGCAGCGATCTTCAAATTCGGATAATAAAGGCATACGGGCCCAGTTGGAGAGGGAAACAGTTAACCTGTAACGTAGCTGTTCCATACGCCTTCTTTATCACAATACTACTGGTGAAGCGACATTTAAGTGGAATTAGGAAAACATAGAATTGGTTGCGGACATGAGGGAGGTACAGGTGGTACCATCTGCACAAGTGTCAATCATCTCATGACTACGGTTTGTTTGACTTACTGATTGCCGCAGGCAGGGGGGCTGTGATGCATGCACACAGAGGGAGAGTTCATTTTATTTTTCCAACTTGGGAATTCATTTTGCTACGCTGTTATTCGAAACATAGACTACCTCCTTTTAAAGTAGTGCCAATCGCGATCTTTAGTGCATCGAGAGGTGTGATAAAGAAACAGGTGTTTGCTGTACTAGTAGTAAAGAGGGTGGTACTACCCCCAGTCTGAAATGGATCAGTCCAATGCTGAAAAGAAAGGAATTATGAATAATACTCCATTCGTTTCTCAGAAAGAGTTGTAGCTACACTTGTGTTAGTGGGCTTAGGCGTGCCTTCTTATATTCCCAGTGCTACAAAAAAAGGAGCGACGTAAACAAAAGGGTTTACATGGCATGGGTTCCAGTGGTGCCGGTCGATAACTGTCGTCTGTGCGGTAAACAAGTGGTGTTGATTGTACTAACGTGCTGGGGTGGACACTGAGGCGGGACAGCGTGCGGGGACTGCCGCCGGGATCGGACCGGGACTTCGGTGTGTGAGTGTAGACCCACACGTCTGGCCACCGTATAGACCGGTATGTCTACTTCTTTTTATTTTGTCCTATATATAGATTCTTTATTGACTCGACAAAAGTACGGGGCTTTTCGTATGTTCTACTACAACTAAGATCGAACAAAGCTAAATACATGTATGAATAAATAAATATTAATATTAACATATCGGCTATTAAGATTGTGTGAGTTGATTCTCATGAAACCGACTCATTGTGTATGCAAAACACAAGAATCGTAAAAAAAGGCATAATGTCGTGGACCTATATGTTAAACCACCTCCTTGGTTAAACATATGTTGTGTACATTTTACACCTTTGTTATTTTCTCTCATTTAGAACTATTTTTAGTGCAGAATTCCAATTTACGTAACCAAGGTAAAACGAACTAATGGGTTTTAAAAACAGGGCACTTTAAAGATGTCCGCACCTGCTTTCACTTCCCGTCGCCTCTTTCTCTAAACCTGCGGATTTGATCTGCCATATCACATTCACGTCACCATAGCATTTAACGCGCGAGGGATAATCCCGTATTTAGTCCCACACAAACTCCCAGCGCTTGCTTTAGTCCAGAAGCAATTTGTAACACTCAATAGCTAGTTTTAAATGCTACCCCTGTCGCCTACAAAGTGATAGATTTTATATACACTTAGCTAAGCGTGGTGGATAAAGGTTTTACGTATGGGCTAGGTGTAACAGCAGGGGACTCCAATAGCAGCCGGTCTACTGACCTTTCCTGGCCTTACACAACACACGGTGTGGTACAACACCACACAGTAATGCTCAACTCAAAAACCTTCGCAAAACAAACATAAAACAACCAACTGTTTTCTCATCTTCCTTGGGGAGGTAAGAAGTTTTAGTCTAACGATTGAAAGGAGATATGACGAAATAGCAAGAGTATTCCTGCGATAGGGGAGCGTTTCAAAGTTTAATTGTATGATGTGTAAAATATCAATTGTATAATCCGAATGAAAGTAAGCGGCGTAGATAAGTGATTGGTAATGCAGTTAGAGTAACACGTGTATTAAAACATGCTTGCATGGTGAATTTCTCATTGTTTTAATGGTTTTATTAGTAACGACCCATATGCAATTATATGGTCTATTATCTACATGCGTGTGGCTCAAGGATAAACACAATCCAGTCAAGTAACGTAATTATTATGATGCATATCAAAAGAACAATGGCGGCCCGGCTCGCCTTTTCTACCCCGTCTGTCTCCCCTGCCCTTCAGGCATTGTTCCCTTTGTCTGGTTCTCCGGTGTTGCAACATTAGCTTTGGTACAATCTACCGTTCTGTAGGCTTGGAATATAGTTGTGTTTCTCCACATTGGAGGATGTTCTTTTTTGGGGGGAGGAAAGCTAGAATTAAGAATATTTTAGCACTATCCATGCACTATCTAATAGTGTATTCATTCATTAAGTTATTCTGGGTTGTACATTTTACATTGTGATCTGGGTGCGGCGTTGCGAAAAAAAATACTGTATGTAGTATGATATATTCTCAAGTCAAATCTCATAATACATGTAGCTAGCGTAGTAGTAGTAGCGTAGTAGTAGTCATATGAGTAGTATACGTTTTTCCCAGACAGCAGTTATCTGTCTCCTATTATTATATTGTACCGAATAGTATCTTTGAATTGACTGCAAAAGCAAGTAGCCTTCGGGCATGATTTTGCCCATAAACAACATATTCTCTTCATAGTAGTTGTATGATTCTAATATATTAATATCCATCTACCAAAACTCCTACAACTTAAAACGAAGAGAAATAGCTCTGATCCTGATCACGAGCGGTGCACCAACTTACCTTGTCACGGATTGTCATGCATGCATTTAAAAAGCACTTCGACAAGCAGGATGGCAGCGACGTGGAGCTTTTGAAATCGATTTGTACAACACATGTATACCGGAGAAATCGACCTTTGTATGGGTTAGAGCGGGGCGTGCGATTTACTCCTCAACCTTACAGCCTACCCCAAGGTCACAACCTGTACGTGTGGCTAGGGAGGGTTGGCTAACAACACAGCTCTATTCAAAGCAGTGCTGCTCTTCGGTTCATTTCATGGCCCCGGAGAAAGAAACGTACGTTCCCTGTGGACAACGCCTCTGTATGGTTCTTGACTTTTGTCCATCGTATCTTTCTCCGTTTGGAGGCGACTTTAGAGCTAGGCTAGTGACAGCTATTCCATATACTCTTTTACTTGCTGAACGAAATATAACAGGGAGTTATATTATATATATGAACTGAGAAATAGGGGGACTCACACATCAGAGAAGCCAGCCATCCATAGAGTTACACATGGGCAGGCTATTAGTCTTGTGCTGGCATACCCACCCACAACGTTATACATAATACTGGATATGTTTGAGTGCGCTTAAAGAAAGAAGATAGACATTCCTAGTGTATGTGTACCTTCAAAGCAGTCACTCACACTAATTCTAATTGATGTTTTCATAAAATTCAAGAAAAAAATACACGAAATTGAAACGACCATAGCATGAAATGACTAGGCTAGCTTTCCCATCTTACTCTAACGACGACTTCCACCCGTACTTTCCATGTACCTCAGGGTTAAATTGGGTGGAAAAGTCAACCAACCATTCATTATACCTGCCTGGTCAGGGGGAACTCACAACAATCAAGAACAAGTTGCCTAGACGGCGTTTTCGCATCAACTGGCTCCAGTCGTGCGGGAAGGGAACTTATACAAACAAAGTAAATGGGACAGACAGTCTGTATCGACCCGTCCACACTCCTGCCTCATCAAAGAGTGCCACCGACGCTCAAGTGGCGCAATATACCGGTGTGCTTGAAATCTGTAGGGACTTCTTTGTACAGTTACGAGTGGTATGTGCACTGTATGCAATAACGCTTAATTGCAGTTGGAGCTCTAGGCACAGCATTTAGGAGTTACATTGCGAACTGTTGAAATCAGTCTACGATTGAGAATAGTTTGGAAGAGAGGGATATTTCTAACGTCTACATTGGAATTTCTCTTGTGAAGTTGTACAATATTATTAAGTGGGATCCTTTGTCATCCTCTGGGTTCAAAAAAGTCAAACCCAGTAGTTTTTACTAGTGGTTTCTTAGTAGTTATCAGTAGTTTTATGTGTACTAATTATCTGTTTTTATACCAAATGTTTCTTCTGTTCCTGCAATTAGCCCTCGGGCAAGAATTTGTAATAAAACTTATATATTGTTACAACACTATATTCCATAATCTACTCAGGGTAGCGTAGTATGTCAGCTGCGACACCGTACTGAAAAGTATATTGGTTAAAATTGCATGACATACTCTCCGCAACATTCGATACAGCAAACCTTTCCGAAAATGTGAGCCACAATGTAAAATATGTATGGGGTTCTGCAGTGAAAAAAATGTGAGGGAATTACGTCGCACTTAGGGCTTACTGGGAAATCCAGAGGTTGTTTCATGTCACCGCGGATTAGCCGGGCGACGGCAAAGACTATTGAAGAATTGGCAATAATGAGGACGTTACGACTGGAATATCTGTCACTTTGCAGAAATCGCAATAAAAGCCAGACTTTGAACGATATCCTGACGTACGGAAGCTGACTCCTGGTCCTTTGTGACAAGTCTACCGCCTTTCGGTGTAATGCAGGCTATATTTCTTAGATACATCAATGGCATTTGTCTTTGCGAACTCTTGCCAAAGTTTTACCGAACATGGGAGAATATGGCATGGACAAATGCCTTTTCACTGTACCAGAGAATAATGCAGTCAGGTCACTAAACCATAAAAACATCCATCTTTTGTTGTCAGATGTGTTTGGAATGGTATTTTAAGCTGCATAACTTTCATGAATACACGGAGACTATTTTGTTCAATAATCCCAAGATCTCACTATATAGCGTGGACGAGACTTTGACACCACCATATACGGGCTTATGGCATGACGACTGATAGCACTGCGTTCTAACAACTGCCATTACGTCCTTGCCTGCCAGTGCTCTTGTGATGATTATTCACAGTCATTATGAAGTTCAGCAAAGATGCATGCATGCCCAAACTAGATAAAGCAGTAGATAACGTTACGTCCTAGAAAACGTCCTTGTTCCAATCAGGGAAAAGGAAAGATTCAGATTAGACAATTGTCGTTCTATCACCTCATTACGTGGACCACCCATAGACAAGGCGGCCTTTTTTGCTTCGTTGGTGAACACACGGGACAATAATGTGCTATCATTCGTACGCACCTTTCTCCGGCTGCAGTCTCTCTAGGGTCGACTCAGCATGACTTTGACCAGCGGCGCTCTGCTCTCCACGACCCGACACTTATTCACGTCCCTCTCAACTCCACTTCTGAGTTCCCTTCTTACGGCACGGTCACATTTCCAAGCCGGGGCCCGGCCGGGTTGTTTGCGTAAACGAAAAATAAACAATTTGTATTAAGAGTATACACAAATAGTGCTCACGGTTGATTTTCTAAAACTTTTTTTGTGTTTTGCTGTCTCATATCATAATTTTCGTTCCAAACGACTGCCCGGCCGGGCCCCGGGTTCGGAAATGTGACCGCGCCTTAACAAGTGCCAAAACACCCCGGCTATTTTTTATTCAGTATGAAGCTACAGTCTGATCCTTAATTGAAATGAACGATGAGCGAAACTATTACTAATCACTGAGCTTCATGTTCTACATTCTGTCCTCAAATCCTCCTCATTGCATTTTGCGACTTCTATCTGTTCCCACTTTACAGCATAATTTTAATTTGAAAAACAGATAATAGGGAGCCAAATTAACTGCATTATAAATGTCGGTACGCATCTTGATTATCATGTCTCATCGCCTAACACCCCATGATTACTCATGTCTATGTCAGCGCAATGAAAAGGAATTAATGGATTCATTAGGGCCGCCTGACACACGTGTACAAACATTTGTATGAAGACTTATACCTGTGGTTATATATATATTATATTCACGTCAACACAAAAGCTCCAGAGTGCTCCTAACAGCGGGCGGTTTGAATGTGGTTGGTACAATCAGATGGAGGCCCGACGGGGATCATAAACGCATCAGACTCAGAATATCTGCATATACGTTATCTTTGAAATACTGTTGTAGATGCTGGCCTGAGGCGATAGCGATGAAATAGGCCACGCTCCATCTTTCCTGTGTAAGTACCGCACGTAACGTAACCGGGACACCGCTCCATATTTTACGGTAAAGTCTCGCCCTGCCGTGTTCTGAAATGACGTTACGTGGAACTACCAGTGGTTTAGGCATCCATTATACTTATTGCGAGATGAAAATGAGGCCCAAGGGATCTGTTAAAACGTCATGTTGCCTGAACAGTTCTGATTGTAATCTGCTCAACAATAAGTGAGAACCCAGGCCCCATTTTCTCTCCTGAAACATGCATGAGGACTGTAGTCTGCAATTCGGTTGTAAAAGGGGCGACATGAAGGATACCCTAATTTGCATATCTTGAAGATCAGGGGCGAAAGAAAAATCCTGGGGAAAGTCCCCTGTACTTAAAACGTGACCATTCGAGCCTGTTCATAGCGGAGGTTGGCTCAGGGTGGATATCTCTCCGCTCCAGGTGGGGTCGTTGGAAACACCCCATTGCTATTCTGGGTCTAATGTGATGCCGTGAAGTAGAGAGATGATTTTCTGTCAAAATTTGATCATCGCAGGTGGTCATTCATCCTGGGCAACGACCGATAGTGGGCGTCGACGGAGCGGCCAACGAGAGTCATCACCGCCGCTCTCATCCGTACGGACTACCGCCTGAGACTCCGACTCCGGCAGGACAAAAGTCAGGATGAAGACGTCCGCGTCCTACACGCTTGTCTTACTGTGGACGCTAGCTGGAAACACCGGTGAGTGAGAGAAAGCTATCTTGATGCGTACGTAGCGTGTGGTGATAACTTCTGTTTTGTCACGTCGCGTATCGAGTGACACGTTTTGCGTGAACAGTTTCCGATACGAGACCTACTTTGGCTGATTGGAAATGCACATAATGCAATTAGCTGTAAATTCGACCTAATCTGTCCACTCAATATCAATTTAGTCGTTTGCATGGGCATTTCTAACAAAAGAAAACGCCCCGCATAATTATGCGTGTGCCACGGCAGGACTACAATACAGAGCTCTGCCATATGTTAAATTTTTGAGATAATGACGTAGAATAACGCTAGCTTTGGATAAATATCAAAAACAAAATCTAGTTCATAAACTGCAATGTCTATTGCGTCCTTGGTGGTATAATAGCTGTGACAGAATTGCAATGCGGCTATGAGGAACAATCAAGAACACGCAATTTTATGCACTATACAAGCATTGTCTGAGAAGGTCGTCTCTTGTACTGTTTTGTTTATAGGTAGAATAAATAGCCGATACAGAAAAAAATCTGCTGACAAGCAGTTACGCGTAGCAGGTGGTACAAGAGACGTGTCTATTAAAGAAGGCTATCCTTGTTTTATTCCTCGGTCGAAGGGGAATTTGCTGGTGTCGCGTTTCGCTCCGGTGAAACCTTTCACTGGCAAAGGTCAGTTCAATTTCGATTTTATACCAGTGTAGCTACAGCAGCCCATTTAACACCTGCTTCCTGTGTACATACGGGTCTCTCGGGGAGTGAAGGGATCACGGGCCCGGGCTGATACTCTCAACCATTTTCCACCGTCCACTGGTCATTCGTGATCTCCTTAACTCCATCGTGGCTCGATTCAAAACACCAAGTACTAGGTCCATGCAAATTTCTCATCCATTTTTTATGTACGATCAATGTCTGGTTCTTCGGTGTATCTACGTGCTGCTGCCCAGATCGAAATGTACATGTAAGAAAGGCGATCAAACTTTGATTTACATTTAAAATGTGTTTACTTGCGAGAAGACAGATTGTCAGGGATCAATACGTCAAGCGCCAGCCGTGAGAAAAGGGAAGGCGTTTTTACAAACTCCAGCAGGAGATAGGACGGATTGATGGATGTCTTTGTAGGTTACAATCTCTAACTGTGGCAACTCATCTTTGTTGACATTAAATCAATCGCTATCTCCAACAAAAAGTGCAACTTATCTGCAAAGGGTGTCCAATCGCGTTAGGTCAGCTTTGTTTGGTTACATGGGAACAGGTGTTTCGCATTGATGGAAAAGTTAGAACGAAAACTTTCAGTTTAAGAATTATGCTGTCGATCTCTCTTTTACCTGTCATAATGCCATCAAATAGTACATGTAGCTTTTAGACATAGATGTATTACCATCTTATATGTAAAATGTTCGAAAGTTTTACATTGTATCACCAGAAAAAAATATAAGCGTTTCGAGCAGGGTAGCCCCAAGTACAGTGCCCCTTCACGAACATTTTATTAATGTTCTTCCGCTTGACACAAGGGGTTGAGAACCTTTGGAGCTCATGGGTTTCCAAGAAGAACGCTTATTATTTGAAGAAAAAAGGGATTACAACGTCAAATCCCTTCCCTCCTTGAGCCGTTAGTGTTTAACAATTAACGAGAGGGATGGTTAAGTCGACAGGGGCGCCCTCCGCTGAATGTGGTATTCAATACGCCCTGTTTGCGATATGAAAGATTGATGAAAACCTGGCTGATAATATCTACTTATTTTTGGCGCCTTTGTCGAGCGGCAGTCATGTATGCTCCCCACAGAAGACATATTCCCGGGGCTTAACTCGCACCGTTCGGCGCTATGCAGCAACACGGGCGGGAATTACACGCAACAAGACCCCAAACCCTCAAGCGGAACTCCTAATATTGGATTTTTGCGAGAAGAGCTAATTTGCGGGTGGACGGCTACATGTAACGATTTTATGACGCTTTGAGGGTTGATTTATGTCTCCGCTAACCGGCTTGTGGCTCGAGCCGTCATCAGCAAAAAGACTGGCTGAACTCAGATAGAATGTGAAATACCGGGGTTCCCCCGGGTTTGTGCGGCCTGGGTGCCAGTTGTCAAGAGGACGATTCAAAACACGCCCTGTGCCCACAAAACATCCGAGTTTTTATTGCAGCAGATTTAACAGACGACACGAAAATTGTAGGCTAATGTACGCAGTACGGCAGCAACATTACCAGTGTTCTACGCCGGTGAACTACCGCATACTGGGTCGGTACCGAAGGGTGGTCCTCAAAGATCGTGAAGGAAGGAGGGACAGTAATTTCGTGCTTGACATGATGAATGATTTAATTTGCTTTAAATGAATCTACTTTAAAAAGAAAACTAAATGACAATGCAGAGGGCATTTTTTTTGCAAATGATAGACGAGAGCACCGCTCACTATTTTCTACTCACATTCATTATTGATCACGAGTAATTCTGGGAGCGTGTGAACATACGGCAGCTACAGAACTCACGGGTGCGATAACAGAGTGAGTTGTAGCAGGGGAAAGATGCTGGCTCGGCAACAATTGTAAAGGCCGCTCAATACAGGCCTGGGGAGAGCCCTGCTGATGGATGGTAGTCGTGACCAGGTGCCCTTTTTCCTGTAAGCAGATCAAGGAACGATGTACATTTTCCCGAGCTTCTGTCAATTTTATATTCACAAGATTCAACGTCGTGCTAGTCAAGCTGAAACATACAACCCATCGTGTCGTTGATTAAACTTGTCATATCGAGTCATGTCAAAAAATCATATCTTAATTCATGATGATCATCATGCTCTTATTTTATTGCGGAATTAGGTTGTGAAATACTGTATCATGTCACCTAAAATATTACTTCGTTCCACCGTATAGATTTACCAATATATTTATTCTTCTTTGTTGATTTCCTCTGTCAAATTTACGATGTTCATAGAAACCTTAACTCCAGAACAGAGATGCAGAGAGCATAATGGGCTGAATTTATGGTTTACTGCCATTGGTTCTCGATAGCCCAGCTCTACCACGAAATAAATTTCCAACGCACGGTTATCATAAAACAGGTGAATTATGCCCGTTCCCCGGCAGATACTGCTGCAAGATGGCTCAGTACGAACGGATGCACCTGCACATGAAAGGCCTTCAATTTCTTCAGTCATGTTCAACAAAGACGACAGATGTTCTATGTATGCATAACGACGTATGTCGAAGTAATGGATAAAGATAGTCCTATGAAAATCTTTGGGTGCGTACTGATCGGTGTAAGTCAGTATGTATAACTACAGGAGAATTATACTACATTGACCCACCCAGACCTTGTAAACCAAAAAGCTCTAAGCGCTAGTAGACCTATATCTGATCAACAGGCTTTTATAAAACTTTGGCGTCCAGATTTCAACTGAAATTTATGCTTAGTATATTTTGGACCTTTGCGTTTTATAAGGAGTTATCAATCTTGCAATAATCCGATACAGATTTTCAAAAAGTTTTGTACTTTGTCGCCGCAGCCGAACGATGATGATGATGACTTTCAAGTACTTTTGAGTTTTCTTTTCTGCAAATGTAATGAGGTAGAGTTGGCCGTTAGCTTCTAGTGCACTGTACAGAAAATGTTTCTCTATCTGACATCATTTACGTTATGTTTGCAGCAACAGTGGAATCGCAGAGCCAGATTGGGCTGGCCCTACCGGACGATGTGAACACCGTGGTCGGCGACCCGTCCGTCCTTCCCGCCGACTACTCCACGGAACTGCCCGTCATTTCCATAACCTGGAGCAAGTTGGATAGTGAGAGCGAAAAGAGAAGAAACACTATCATGTCGTATGACCCGAACACTGGGACCGTGAACGCCTTTGGTGAGTACAAGAACCGAGTGAGCCTCGCGGACAAGGCATCTCTCCGGATTGACTCCACCGACCTGTCTGATGCCGGTACATACGTGTTGTCTCTGCTGATAGAGGACATAGGCACTGAGGAGGGCTTCATCACACTCAACGTCATGGGTGAGTTTCATTTACTTTATCCTTAAGTTCGTCTTCGTCTATTTATCGCTTTACCACATTTGTGGAAGGATTGACATAACAGGTGACTATCACCTCTTCAAGATGTCAGCCCTGAGACCAGAATGTAAGGTTTGAACCACTAACACTTGGGAGAACCTCTGCTCTTTTCGATAAATGTGGTGGTAATTTTAACTTGATCAAGGGGTGGCTCTCCTTGAACATGGGAGCTCCGACTCTACGTCCTATCCGACGGGACGTCATTAGCCAAAGTTCGAAACTCATTTATACCACCTGAGTCATTTGAGAAATAGGTGATAAGTGCCTTTCCCAAGGACAAGGACACAACAATAGGGCCTGCCGGGGATCAGAACCCAGAAGCTTCCAATTCTGACTCAAGAACCCTGACCACAAGAATACCTTCCCACCCTCTATCAACCAACCACCAATCAATATTTATCCCCACTCATTCCATACTATTTGTCGACCATCGGCTTCCCTACCAGGTCAGATGTATTGCCTCATTCAGAAATTCATTCTTTTCTAGAACTATCGCAGAGTGGAACTCGCCGTCACCAAGTAGGGGCATTATCCTCAGATAGTTTAAAACAATGTCTAGAGTTAGATATTCAAGGGTTAAGTGTAACAAGTCGTTCGGTGTGATGTAGCAAGCTGCCGCCTCGCCGCGTGCCTGCGAAGCTGGACAGGTGTGTTACGCCGAAGTGTGGTTATACCGGCTATACATATACAGATACAGATTCCTATCGTAGCTCCAACTTCCACGTTCTGCCTCTAATGAATCTAACTAACAAGTAGGCATATATCTTATCATTGAACATGACAGGCAAGATTTTAGATCTCGCAAGGGAACTCTTCAAGCGCTTGATAGAATACATTTGTGAAAGGAAATATTCTCTGTGCGGACAGAATTACAATATTTCATTTCATCCTAAGTAATAGGGGTATTTAGTGGTCTATATGTAGTAAAACTTCGCTTTCCAATTTATTGCAGAAATGAAATCGATTCGGTGTATGTAATTTTATGCAGCCAATATTATCGAACCTGTTTACAAAATGTTTCAACATGACATTAAATATTATGAAATATAGCATTAAATGTCATAAATAAAAGGCAACATTTCCTTTATATACACACGCTTATTTGCTCTACTGCTATTATATGTGTATATAGGTAACAAGTTGATATACTAAATATCTTCACTTCTATTGTACAGTAGTTACTAACGTCGTGAAATATAGATGTATATGTACCAAACCATAAAGATAGAAATCCCATGAAACAGATAATTTTTGAAAACCGTTCCCAAACGATAAGGTTTATCATACATCTAGGAGTCATTTTGTCGGTAATAATGATGTTGTCAGCCGATGTTACCATAGATAGAAGGCTGTTTAAATCCACCTACACGATCTTTTGCGTACTTAGATAAACAGACTAGACATGTATATTGCATAAAACGTACCAATAAACAGGATGTAAGCCAACGAATGAGTGAAAACAACAATTTTAATTCCAAGTTGATGGTTTGACATTTTACCTATCATCACCAGGGAATCTACATCAACAAAATGGCCACTAGCTGTATAACTTTGAAAACTACAGAATTAAACAGCAATCTAGATGATAACGAAATAGACGGCAGGCAATCACTCAAAAAGGACTACAAGGAATAAAAACTATATTCAACTCAATTTTACCACAATAAAGGTAAAAGCTCGATGAATTATTAACAACGGCTTACAATACAATCAACTGGTAGCCATTCCCAATAGGCACTTATGTGTATGTCATTAGTTAGGACATATTTGGGGAGCAGTTTGTATATATGTTTCTGTGATAAGCAATTGAATGTAATTACAAATTCGTCATATAGATGATGTATTTGTGCCCTCTGTCCACCAACTTGGTGCATGCTATTGAATATACAATTCACATTTCACAATTCACATGAAAAGCGTCCACTGAAATTACCGTCACTAATTCATGATAGTTTCTATTTTCCTTGTAGAATAATAGAATGGATGAATAAGTTAGTGGTCTGCCCCAGAAAGATGATGTAGCGAAACCGCAAAAAGCACCAAAGGATTATGCCGGGTCTCTGGAGGAGCGTTACGTCTTGTATGATCGATAGAAACGTAAACGCGACTTTGGAAAAGGAAAGTGAGCTTTCGTGAGAGGGAGTAAGCTTATATGGGCACCGTCTCAAAACATCAGAATGGTTCGTTCCGCTACTATATTTTCTGTCCACGTTCATTCTAATCTTTCGACTAAAAGTACCTTTGTGGGGAAAACTCTCTGGGTATCGCTTCAAGAGGGCTGATATTCCTGTCAAAATATGTTCTTGCCGTGTCCTTGTAGCAGAACTTTTACCTATTTTATAGAGGTCAGATCCACACAATTTATTTGCACTGAAGGATACTTTGTGGGAAACTCTCTGGGTACCGCTTCAAGAGGCTGATATTCCTGTCGAAATACGTTCTTGCAGTGTCCTTGTAGCAGAACTTTTACCTATTTCATAGAGGTCAGATCCACACAATTTATTTGTAGTGATGGATGTAATTTTTCAACACATACAATATCTTTTGCATGGTCAGAAAGGTCTCTCATGAAATACGAGCCCACTAAGACGTTTTGCGCCGGTGTATTCTATGAAGAAGAATACATGTCTGCGGAGTTGACATGTGCATCATACTAATGGCAGCCCTCCAGCTCACCATGCCCTGCCCCTGGTACTTACAATGTACATTAAATCAATGGCTTAACAACGGACTACAGAAAACATCTTGTATGAGTACTGAAGATGCAAGGCATGGAAAGTAGCTCAATGTACGCAGGCTAGCCGTTCATCTATCATCTGCGCTTCGGAAAGTAACGGAACACTCCAAAGGTCCAGCCATAAAAGCATCCAAGGTCAACGCCGTCGACCATTTGAAGGAGAAACAAAAGCTCTTATCGCTGTAAAAGCCATCGGCGTTTTGTAAGGGGCCACAGGCTGCCATGGATTACTCTAAATTTAACTCCGTGTTTGAGAGGCAAGTTATATGTTCACTCAAGGACGGCATTTTCCCGTCCCTTATTTAGATGTTACGAAGATGAAGGTAATTACTATGCAGTAAAAGATACATAACGCTTGCCTCCGCTATCTCGCTTCTTTTAACTTTAAATCTGTTGCTGAAGTTCGGCAATGCTGGAAGCCCGGAGGCTATTTTGTGTGGTAATGGGAAATGGTTAGATAAGAGGCTTATAACTTCGATCAGGATTCATGCCGTACCCTGTATCGTAATAGTGACATTTACTGCTATCGCGTTTAGAGATATTACAGCTATGGTATATTGGGTTAGGGCGTGGTTACGTTCAGGCATCATCACCTATCTTACTTTAAATGTCCTCTTCTGTTAGAGTACTGCTATACCTCAATCCCACCCTAACCATTTGTGACAATATTGTAGGTAGCATGCTCCTTAATAGATCAACATAAAGCGCCCATGTGCTTACGTTTGCTATGGTTCGTTACGTTTATTGTGTATGTTTATCATTATATATGATAATGACTATGCTCATTATCATCATGCCCTTTGCTTGGAAATACTAACAGTGGTGTTGTCTTATCAAATATAATGGTTTTTAATTAAGACATCCATAGCCAAAATCTAGCTACTCCTCATAAATATTCAGAAAAGTACGCATTGCAAACAACAGAAAGAAATTGAACTTCACGTTGCTATCCAACATTCCATCTAAGAGTTTACCTCTCCTGGTAGAGAGTTTTCGTCTCTTCTTTCCTCAAGAAGTAGCGTTTTACGACAAACCAACTGATGAAGAAATCCCTTTACTTGGTTTCAAAAACAGCTTGAAAATTGCAGAAAGCCGTGATAACAACAGTAGTGGTCCAAACCTCTATTCACAAATCCCCACTAAAACGTGCAACAACGTTAGGGAAACATTTCCCCATCAAGACTTATCAAGAAACATCAAAACCGTCTGTTTCTGTCTCTCTCCTAAACCCGACCGTTACTTCGCCGTCATAGCCCATAGTCTATCAGACATTTCAAACCGCTGCACCATTTATTTTACAAAGCTAATAAGCCCCGAGAGAACCAAGATTCTCGTACGGCCATGTTCAAAAATACTATCAATCTTGGAGGCAAAGAGATTTTTCTCTGTGGGTAGAAGAGTCCTTTTATAAGTTTTTCTCGAATTGAGTGTAGCGGAGACATTTGGAGAATCTAGTGTAGCGTAGACAGCTGGAGATATCCTGGCTTTCAAACATGTTATAGCTGCCGAGTCTCTTTCGTCTTCTCCACAAATGGACTTGGATACCTGGCTGAGTTGGAGAAACTTTGAGTCTGTGGTTGGTGCCCAGGGATCTGTGATACAAATACGACTTGGCAGTAGAATCCCACGGGCATGTCACAAGTGTGGATGTTTGCGTTTTGTGCGGGTAATTAAGGTGGCCCCAGAGCCCTGCACAGAGAACCGCATACTTAATGACACATGTCCAGGTGGGCCATCTCGGGGAAGCATTGCATTCACATTCACTACTGAAATGTCATGACCAAATGGTTCAGCGATGTGCAAAATGGCATCGACGTCATCCGCAGTTTACTCAATCCTTCTGAAGGCCAGACGAAAAGAAATGTCCGATGCAATTTTCCTCTGTGTAATTTCAAAGTATGTCAACCCTGGCCTAACTTACGTTTTTCTAACTTAATCTGCTTCCCTTGATCGCAGACATTGACGTGAAGATTATACTAAAATAGTCAACTTCCAACATATCTATCAGCTTCTTATTACATTATATTATCAGAGCATAACAGCACAAATATAATTTCTACACTGAAATGCCGAAATTGCAAAATAAAGAATATGCATTGTAGGTCAAGTCTAGAGAAAACAAAAAAAGTCTAACCAGAGAATATTCGACAAAGTTTGCAGAGAAAGAATACAAATCACTATATATATATATGTTTTCAAAACTACTGTAACAGTTGAAACAAGAAGACTCCTAGATTGCCGGTATTGATGTCTGGGCTAGATAGTGGCCTTAGCAGTCGGACTGCTCTACTCCCAACAGAATAACTACAGTTCTTATGGACCAGTGTTCTACACCACATGCTGGTCCCTTTAGAGCACTAAATTTGCTGATGCATTCCTTTGTCCTTGGAATTTCCTCTGCATTACGATAACACCAGTAATTCATTTGTGACCAATCTTCGTCCCAGAAGGGAGCTATTTGTATGCTGGAGGCCGACGTTTTACCCAAACCACGAGCGGGCTCATTTTCTAAAAGAACGTAACCTTTGTCACGCCAGAAGTCCCCTAGTCCCTGTCTCTTTTGAATTAATCATACAGAGGAGTCTTGTAACCGCGAAGCGAGACACGTTGGAGAATTTGCAGGAGGCTTGCTCTATAATTAGGCTGTGTTACAAGTCGTGTTGCTATGCATTATTGATGGGAATAGGCCATGTGAAAAATGACAAAATGCTATAGCCCGTAGCCCATTTAAACAAACCACGAGTCGACTAACACTTGACGACGCCAGTCGAATTGGGTATCTTTTTTAAGGCAAATCTAATTTGCGGTCGTGCAGGGTTGGTCGGAGGGGGATCTCTTGTTGAGGTTCCCTACTAGTTTTCTCGTTAAGGCATTAATGGATTATGGAAATCTCGCCTACAGGTGTATGCTCTAACGATCAGCCGACAAAAGTCCACTTTGCATTTAATGTACCATTTCCCACCCACACACACCTCTGGGGAGATTAACTAGTAGGCACTGGGAATAAAGGACGTAGGGAGAAATATAATAAGGCCAAATGTATGAAAGGCTCAGGATGTGAACCGCGCAAACCCGCAACAGGGATCCCTACTTGTTCCTAACGCGATCAGGGAACCTTGCGGTGATCCTAACCTGATTTGGCAGATTTTTCCGCCGTGAACAATGCCCGTGCGGTGGTATTTACCGCAGGGTGGACCTGGTGGGTTTTCTCTTTCCGCACACGGGGCACTGCGAACGTGGGGCATGGTGTAATCCAATTGGTTTCTAATTTCATGGCGGCTGTGGAGAGTACGTCCCAACTCTCCCCGCCCTACTGACAAGCGTGAAGGACAATGGGTTCGTGTTTTACGTCTATAAGACCCCCCGCGAGCAACATACATTCTTAACTCCTCACTTACATCCATGCTTAGGCATATCAAATCTATGATCTACAGATAATTAGAAACATAGATAAAACATGATCTACGTAGATAAGAAATTCCCAACATCGGCTTCAAACCTTGCAGCATATTCCTAAGATGCGGTGTACCGTAATAATAAGGTGATTAGCTGTGCATCACTCCCCACTGTGAGCCCATTCCAAAACAAATCAAAATGTCATACCTATTATTTCTATGTCATTAGCGCACATACTTATCCATACAATCTCTTATATAACAAGAAGATTAAGTAGAAGATCGGGAGAACTAGAAACTTTCGAGAATTAATTAAAACACAACATCTTTAACAAATGATTCTTTAGGCAAATATAAAGCATTAGAAGTCAACTTTCCTGGCAGTGATTGAACATTTGAACAAACCCAGCCGTATTTGTCCTGTAAGATTGCTTTGTCAAATGCAGGTGTTAGGTCCCCCCTTGGGGGTACATATTGCACGAAATTGGCATCCGTCTACTGAAACTAATTATAGCTTCTTCATCATCAAAGTCACCCGATAATAAAGCATGTGGGAGAACTTTCCAGTCTAGGTTTAATTTCCTCCACGTATTGCCCAGGGTTACCAACTAAAGACGCCAAGCATAAAGGATAATCTTTTGGTAATGGTAACTTCTTGAGGCAATCATTTCTTCCAACACATGATGACGTCCAACATTATTATTGCCTGAGGTGTTCTACTATAATGTAATAAGGACTGTTTGTCACTGAAGATTGCGAGTGAAAAGTATTGCTAATTTTTCACCAACAGCTTCCAGCCTAAGATAAGGTCTCTGCAAGACAGTGCACTTGGTTTCACATATACTCGTTAGGTAGCTATAGTACGTGGGCAGAATAAGGGGATACGCTCGTCTTTTATCATCATTTCTCCTATTTGTTTTGTGCCTTTCTTTTTGCTGTCTCTTGATTCGAGAGTTTTTACTCTTGAATTTCCTGCTATAATCTTATAGATTGAAACGTTCTGTGTGCTTAAATGAATTTTATTTTGTTCTTCTTCTCCAAACCAATAAGGTCAATGACCTGAACCAGACAGTCTATCACCATGGTAACTGGTGTAGGGTTACATCATGTTGCAATTTTATAGCAGGGGGGATTTAGCTCTCTGACCATGTATATGAATGTGATTGAGTAAGAATTAACAGAGCAGACCGTATGCGAAGGTAAACATTATGCATTTGCTTTGCAAATGTTACCTTCCTAGTTCCAGTGGTGACTTTTGCGTTGAATAAAAAAAAACGTGTTTGTGTTTTTATCCGCAGTTCCTCCAACGATAGAAGTGGGTCCGTCTGACCCGTACGTGGCTGAGTGGGGTGAGACGGTGACCCTGACGTGTCTCGTCACGAACGCCATCCCTCCCATCACGTTCCTCCGCTGGGAGAAGGACGGCATTCCCGTGGACGGCATCGCCGAGCAGAGCAAGTACTCGGGCGGGAACCTGGACTCGCCGTCCCTGCTGATCCGGCACGTGATGCGGGGTGACGCCGGGAGGTACACGTGTATCGCTAACCACCCTGTCAGACCGGCCGCAGCCAACATCAGACTGGACGTTCTGTGTGAGTATAGCCGGATACAAACTACAGCAATATTTTCTGTTCGATTTTCTCTGTACTTTGTATTTACCTGGAAGAATATGTCAACAAGTGATTTAGTTATGCTACTAGAAACAGTTTATGTACGAAAGTTCATGTACATGTGCACGCATGCAATATATAAAACTTGTTCGTGACTTTGTCTTGGGAACCATAAGACTGGCATATTATGACTATTCCTCAACATTTGTATATGTAGTGCATGTTTTGACAGCCTCGGCGGCAGCTATTCTCTATGTTTCAAAAGTCGATACACTTGTGGATCAACTGTCACCAGGCAGTGCGAACATGGCAAAGAGCTTGAAAGTTTGCAGGTCTGTAAAGCATGTTCAGCAAGACTTCAGCAGCTTATATTTTTACTTTTATCGTCCTTCCCCAGTCCCCGCCTCAATAATCAGCTTCACAGACTCGACCTCCGCCACCGAGGCAGACCCCATCACTCTGCAGTGCGTGGCTGACGGCAACCCCCCTCCCAACATCACCTGGGTCAAAGATGGCGGGCGGCTCAAGTCGCCGCCCCGGTCCCAGCCCGTGTCCAAAGACGTCCGCGCCAGCTCCCTGGTGCTGCCCAGGGTCAGGCTGAACGACACGGGAGAGTACAAGTGTACAGCCTCCAACGGGATCGGCAAGAGTGAAGCCAGGACTATGCGACTCTCCATTCGAGGTATTTGTTCCTGACTGTCGTTAAACATTTTTCCTTTACCTGTACCTACATGTAGTCCCGTCTTCATGCCTGAGAGTCGGGGACGAAGGTGGTATTCAGTATCGGCCCCTCCACTCCCTCCTGTCTCTGGCCCAGTGAGAGCACTCTGCCAGGGGTGTGCCCATTCAGTCCCGTGTATGTCGTTAAACAAGGACTTCCATATTGACAAACCTTCGATCATGAAACAAAATCTGTTCTTACCTTTTTACCATCATAAAGAAACAAGAAGAAGCCGAATTTACGTAGGTGTAGTTACTCATGATATTGTATATATGTAACGTTATCTGCATAATATTCTTTGTTGTGACCTGTACTGAACCCAGTGGGTATGTAATACTATGTATGTACAATTAAGGTCTTCATCAATTTATATTCTTAACATCATCTGTCTTCTTTTTCTCCGATTCACCACATTTACACGTTCCCGCTCCATGCAGTACACAAGGTCATCCGGTAGAAAAGATGACAGTCTATAGTAGATGCTCAGTTCACTGATGAAGGACGTTTATTACACAGTGACATTGCCTCCTTTATGTCCTCTCTCCTAGCCGCTACAAAGAAGCTGACTTCCGCCACCGTTGCCGTGATTGTGGGGGCCACAGCGGGAGGTCTGTGGCTCGTCATCTGTGTCCTCCTGGTGGTGTGGTTCATCCGGAGGAGGAGAAGTCAGAAGGAGAAGAAGAAGTTCGCGTTCTACTACAACATCGGACGGAGAGACCAGGGCAGGATGGAGGGCAAGATGGAGATGGAGGAGGACAGGGAACCTCCGCCTTACGCGTCTTTGCCAGGTATATCATCAACACGTGCCGCATGAACGGCATCACCGTGTATATACTAGAGTAGTTTTGGTTATGAAGTTTGCTACTCGTGTACCAGTGTAAGCCTTAAGTAGGAATGCAGCTGCGCCACCTACCGTCTTCATTGAAAATGTCACAATGTTTATCCGTTTGATTCTACGTACACATGGGATATGTTTTTAACGCGTATCGTATCATCTGCTTTTGTTTTTCTTTCACAGAGAAACCTACAAATCAGAAGTCTGGGTATGCAGGCATTGAAACAATGAGGAAGTCAGCAAGTCAGAAATTCAAAGGTACTTTATCATTGTAATTACACTTCATTCACTCGAGAGCATATCCTTTCCACCGTAGACATGTACTGTAGAGTAGTATGAATGGGAATACCTTTACTAATACTTACTGTATCCCTGTAGAGAGAAGATACGCCAAAGCCCTGTATGCCTACGGCCCGCGGGAAGAGAACGAACTCAGCCTCGAGCCGGATGACGTCATCGAGGTGCTGGAGGGGGAAGATGGCGGCTGGTGCCTGGGTTACCTGAGGGGCAGGATAGGCCTGTTCCCCTCCAACTACGTACAGTTCATTCCCGCACGGCAAGGTTCGACACTTTTAAGTTTACAGAAAACATAAAAAAATGAATCATCAGTCACAGCTCACAAAAGCATGTCCAACATTTGACCAATTACTATTATAGTCGTTGTGTTCTATGTCTACATACTTCTATGTCAAAACCACAAATGTACTGACGACATGAATTTACAGTTTATAAATGTTATAATTATCTGTCTTATTCTGCAGTGATGGCGGCGAAGGCAGGGGTGCACTGTAAGGATATTGAAGACGAGACGCCCTCCAAGCGAAGCATCTGAAGAAATGACAAGTATAGATGCTGTAGGGTACTTAACATCCATTCTAAATGGATGGGCGTTTGGAACGAACAGTTGCAGAGATAACAGTACGAAGGGATAAAATTTTGGGCAGTTGTAAAAGTTTTAACGTATGGTATTTAGTACTTGTGCTACGTTTTTGCTTGAGGGTGAAAGTATCCAACACAGGGGACGATACTTGTTCTACAACCACATGTACTTGTACAGATATGCTATGACCAACCAGTGTAAAGCAATGTTTTTGACTGTAAAAAATATTTATGGCATATTCATTCCTTCTGTTTGGTGAGATTACACGTACCTTCTCAGTGAGCACTACCTGTACTGTGTGTCCTTTAGCCGTGGTGTCTAGTGGATGGTGTCTTCGACCTTGACGTACCCTTGAGAGTCGTAAACCACCCTTGATGGTACTTATATTTTGCCAAATGTGTGTTCTCCAGGGCTGCGTTAACGTGGCAATGGGACTTGGTTTCCCCTTTATGGGCTAATGCCTTTACCCCTAAATAACCCACCACTTTAATTATTACTTTAGCGGAATTTCTAAATATATTGTGAGTTGTAGTTTCCTGGGCCGCCACCTTTCTTTCCGCTAAACTAAAAATAGGAATAATTTGGTTATGACATTGCTGCCTTTAAATATAAAATCAGAATCAAATTTTAGTCTTGTTGATGAAATGCAGACCTTACACATACGGAAGAGGTTAGAATGGCGCAGTAATTTCATGCTCAACAAATTCTGAATCAAACGCAACGGAACATCAATTATTTCAATCTTATATTAATCTTTTTAGACTCACTTGAATCAATGAAGCAGAGCAGCTTTCCAATGTCGAGCACGTTCCTCCAGGCACCGTGGCTATGCAACTGGGTCTATAGGTCTGCCCCTAATAAAACATATCCTATAATATAACTGGTACTCAGGCAATAGTGAATTGTCTATACGTCCCATATCGCCACTAGGAGTAACAGAGAGACAAGCCCTATGTATAGTTGGGGAAAGCAGGAACACAATGTTTGTTCAACAACCTTTCAGAGGGACATTTGTACATAGCTTTACACAAATATGATACTGTTTTCTTTACTGGTTCTAAATGCCGATGTGATCGTCTGTTCAAGTATGGGCTTTAGTATTAGAAAACACTGCTGTTGCATTCGGACCCTAAGGCTTGTATACATAATATAAGGTATGAAAGTAAATGAATGCTTGAATGCGTAAATATTGCTCTTGTGAGGATCAACCGAGGCCTGGTGCTTTTTGTGTTGTATTATATACCACTCTAATGTGTGATGGGGAGATTTTGCTGTTGTGATGAAATTATTGGACTTATACAGACCATACACTACAAATAGGGGCCGCAACTTGTTAAGAGCTATACAGTAATGGACTATGAGTTCCAAAAGCAGTCCGTATAGATAGTGGACTGCAGGTGTTCAAGTTTGCAATGAGAACAAGAAATAGTGAGCCTGGTCAATTTTATCAGCCAAATGCTTTGACAGATTTTCTAAAGAGCAGCATTTAGATAATCAGTAGGTTTTTTTAATCAATTAATTTATTCAAAGGTTTGGGTTTATTAGGATCAGCAATTGTAACTAAAAGGCTGTGGTGGACGTATATTATCATCAATGCATTCGACGAGCTGAATGTGAAGTAGTACCGGTCCGATTCCGCTTGGTGGCGCTCCTCCACCACGCAGTGGAGATACATCACTGTATATCTTTATCATTTACTATTCAGTTTGTCCAACGTCTTGGAATGTTTGATGGTTTTGTGATTCCTTTATTTTTCAACCAAGCCAATAAAGACGTCATTAATCCTGTAACATGTCATTCTTTTGTCGTCTTTGTTTGAACCTTGGTTAAAGCAAAACCTTATGTATATCATGATGCGTTGAAAAATACTTTCAACTTTACTTGAAGAATACAAAACGACCTTACATGGGCTTAGTCATGTAGATGCCATTTCAGCGAGGGCTATTCAAGAAGCGTTTGTTTTCCTTGTCCCGTTGCCACGGCCTGGTACCCAAGCAACTGTTGCTAAGGGCGTTGCCTGGGAATTGTGAGGTGTGGTTGACATCTGACCCAACATTTTTGTTTGGGACATTTCAAGGGCAAACAAATGGCAGCAAAAATTGACACTACGAATGTCTTTCTATAGAATACAAATTGATAAACATCACAAATTATTCATATTGCACCCGAATGTATTTATTGAATATCACACAACCCAAAATGCACAAGTTATACTTCCTGAAAGGAAATATAAGGCTAATATTAGGTCTATATAAGGCTAAATAACTGGTATATTGTACTTTCATGATGATACAGAATCCTATACTAAAAGATAACAGCCAAAATAAGGGCTTGTTTAACGAAATCCTCTTAGTAGTCAACATCATAAAATGAAGAACATTATGTTCGTTCGGCAATAAACATTTACACGCTTCTCTTACTCTGTGCAATCTATCACCATTATTTGCTTGCAATGGTCCTGCTGTCATTGAAGCTAGAGTGAGCCATCTGAAATCTATCGCAGTAAAACTACTTTCCATCGGTAAATCACAAGAAAGTCTCGGAATAAAAACTTACGTCTCCCATCCCTGACAAGCCGGTAACTTCCCTAAGTAGCGAACTCTGGGTTTTGTCTTTAACGGCGGCAGCTGCCGCTTTCTGCCGGCTGAGAACACTCTTGGCTCAAGGTTGATTTCCCCCTCATCTACCCTTTCATCTTCTCCCTTCTCCTCTTTGTCATCTGTTTGCTTTTGCTCTTTTATCTTTTGCTCATCATCCTTCATCCCCCTAGCTTCTTTAAGTTTAACTGGAGACTTGGAGGTGTTCCCTGCGCTATCCGGGCCACTGTCATCCCTCTGTGCAAAGCCAGTCTTCCTCCGGTCTTCCAATTCACGAGTCTTCCTCTGATGCTCACTTATCAGAGCCTGCATTTCCTCAGCTTTCTGCTCCTTAGCCGTGACCTCAGCTTGCAGGGCCTCTACAGCAGCTTGGAGGGACTCAACTTCCCGCTGTTTCGACTGATTGTTTGAATCGGAGGATTCGGCTTGCTGGCGTAGAAAAGACTGCTCTAAACCTATGTCTTCTAGCTCCATCTTTAAAGTCTGGACTTGGTTCATTTTTGGAAAGAGGGGGTCCACAGACTTTAGGGAGAACGCAAGATCGGTTTCGGAATCAACGCTCTCAAAAGTGGGTGCTTTGGTGCTGCGAAGCTGTTTTAATTCTAACATCCTTTGCTTCTCTTTGATTACTTTATCTTTGTCATATAAAGTAGCTCGCAGCATGTTTAGCTCCATATTCAGCTTCGCTTTTGCAGTCTTCAATTGCTCCCTTTGCTTCAACTTCTTCTCCAAAGCCCTCTTCAAATCAAGTATGCTGTACGTTTTAGTGGTACGTTTGTTGATTTCAAGTTCACCTTCCTTCCTCTCTGTATTTTCCAGGTCAACGTCATTCTCAACATATCTGGTTTCTAAGATAGCGCGACGTGCTAGTAAACTAGCCATACCGTCCAACATGATATCCGGACGTCCCTTGTGTTCATCCTCTACTTTGGACCTGTCTCGGTCCCATTTGAATACAGATTCTTCATTTTCAGTGGCGTTTTCGTGCATGTCATCCTCTTTGTTACTCTCTGTTTTAGCCGAAATTTTGTGCTGATCTTTGTCTTGTGCTGTAGCATTCCCCATTCCTTCTTCGGCGATTTCGTTAACAGTTTGCACGGTTTCCTTTTCTGGCAGTTCTGTTTCCTTTGCTCCCTCGTCTTCCATTTGTTGTGTTTCCTCTGACTTCTCCTGTTTTGTGCCCTTCTCCTGTTCAGTGGACTCACGCATATCTTCATCGTGCTTCTGCTGTGTCTCTTGCGTCTTCTCTTTCTCAAGTTCAACCTCTTCTGCACTGTTCTTCTCGAGTGCTGCCTCTCTGTCTACATCATGTAGTTCCTCTTCATTTTTCTGCTGGACAGACTCATCAGGATCCAATGTCAGTCCTTCAACGACAATGTCTCGCTTTTCTTCACCATCCTTTCCGTCTTCTGTTTCATCATCTTTGTCTACTGACTGAGTTAGGCCTTCTTCCTCAACTGCTTTACTATTTCCTCCTATTAGTTCGCTGCTTTCATCTTTTTCTTCACCGTCTGTCTCGTGTTCAACCTTTCCTTCATCTTTATGCGTTTCGGTCTCTTGCTCAGTCGTACCATCTGTCTTTTCCCCTTCAGCATTTTCTGCCGCCTCGCCAGTCGCTACGTCTTCATCACTCTTTTCGTTATTTTCTTCACTTTCTTTCTCTGCTTCCGCCATGCCATCTTCCGTCACCATATTCTCATTTGTTTCATCTGTCTTTTCCTCTTCAGTATTTTCTACCACCTTGCCAGTCGCTACAGCTTCATCGCTCTTTTCGTTATTTTCTTCACTTTCTTTCTCTGCTTCCGATATTCCATCTTCCGTCACCATATTCTCTTGTTCTTCATGTGTACCATCAGCCTTGTCCTGTTCAGTATTTTCTTCCGCCTCTTGAGTTGCTATGGCATCACCACTGTTTTCGTTCTTTTCCTCGCTTTCTCTCTCTGCCTCCGCTATCCCATCTTCCGTCAGCATATCCTTTTGGTCCTCTTTTGGTCCATCTGCCTGTTCCTCTTCAGTATTATCTTCCACCTCGTCAGTTGCTATGGCATCACCACTGTCGTCGTTCTTGTCCTCGCTTTCTTTCTCCACTTCCTCTTGAGGATTTTCTGTTGTTTCGACACTTGTTATGGCATCTTCACTGCTCTCATTCTTTTCCTCGGTTTCTTTCTCATGTTCCTCCTTTCCTCCATCTTCAGTGACTGCACTTTGCACTTCGTTACCTTCAGCCACGTCGTCACTCGTATCTTTATTGTTTTCTTTCTCTCCGTCATTATCTGTTTTGTCTTCTTCCTCCTCTTCTGCAACTATACTTTGCTGTTCTTGTTCTGTCCCATCTGCCTCTAACGTTTCTTCACTGTTTTCGTTCTTTTCCTCTCGTTTGCTCTCGTGTTCTAATTTTTCGTCATCTTCAGTCCCTGCATTTTCCTGTTCTCCGCTTTTTGTAGCTGTCTGTTCCTCTTCAGTGTTTTCCAGCACTTCACCACCTGTCACTGCATCTTCGCTGTTTTCAACCTTTTCCTCGCTGGCTTCATGATCATTTTCCTCCTCTTCAGCCGCCCCATTTTCCTGTTCTTCTTGTACACTCCCTGCCTTTTCGACTTCAGTGCTTTCTACAGTATCGCCACCAGTTCCTGGTTCTTGATTGCTTATGTTCTTTTCCTCGCTTTCTTCTTCTGCTTCACCTTTTTTCTCTTCTGTAGTTCCCCCACCCTCATGTTCCTCATTTGCACCACCTCCAATGTTTTGTGCATCGGGCTCATTCGTTACCTTCTCATCGCTGTTTTCGTTCTTTTCTTCGCTTTCATTCTCTGACTCCACATTCCCCGGAGCTTCATTTACTCCACTTTCCTGGTCCTCACCTGGCTGTTCATCCTTGTTGTCGGATGTGTCATGCTGGCTCTCTACCTTTGTCTCTTGGTCCTGTGCAGTAGCATCTTCTGTACTTTCTTCAACGCCAGAACCATCCCCGCTATTTGTTATCTTCTCGTCTTCTTGGTTGTGATTTTCCTCTGGGTGGTCTGTAGTTTCCTTCACCCCATCAGTTTGTTCCGTATTCTGGTCCTTTTCCTCCCCAGTCCCATCAGGTACCTCATTGGTCTGTCCTTTCTCTTCGCCCTCCATGTTTTCAGATGTTGTTTCTGTGCTGTCGTGATCTTCCCGGCCCTTTCCTTCATCAGCTGGACCACCATTGTCCATGGTGTCTTCCTCTGTTTGACTGGACATCTGATTCACTGGGAATGGTAAAATCGTGTGTTTCACTGACCAAGTAAACCGTCTGCTAGATTCTTGTCTAGCATGCAGTACGGCGTTAGTTTCTAAAACGTCTTGTAGTGTGTATCTAAGAACATTTACATATCAATGCATAACACGCCAGGCATGCACAATTTACTGTCTTTAATCTTCTCGCAATTCACATGAGAGCTGGCTCATATTGTAAGAGCAGATGTCAAACGACAAAAGTGTGCATCGAAGTGTGACTTTGTGGTGCTGAATTATTGATATCTACTAATTACACCTCTCAATCCCGATGAAGCGTCCCAAATTCAACACGTCGTTTGCGCGGTCGCTATGGTTTTGTTTTGTGCTTTAAGGACACAGGTCGCTATGGTTTTGTTTTGTGCTCTGAGGACACAGAAGCTTCGACCATCAGGTCGTCATCAGGGGTGAAAGTGCATGACAAGATAAGTCACTCAAGCAGTATCTACTTCGCGTCCTACTGTTGATGGATACAGAAGACTAACAGCGTGGACGGATAGACACTGCAGTCATTCAAGGACATTATACAGAGATATAATGTCCTCGATTCACCAGAACCTACAACATGGAAGACAAACGAGCCCTCGAGTCTGAAAACGATGCGGCGACTGGTGCCTCATCAGCGAAAGAAGGGACAGACAGCACTCAGACAAACAGCGCTGTAATCCAGGAAACATCAGGTGCTAACGGGGACGCTGGGCAAGATAAAAAGGGCGCCATGAAGGACAACGGAGGGGCAACAACAGGTGAAGGTAACAAAGATACCAAACAGGAGAAGGGAGACGATGAGACTAAATCTAAGAAAGGCCTGGTAAAGGATAGAGAAGAGCCATCAGCTCCTCAATCTGAATCAGACGCAACCCAGTCAGAACAACTCTTTGACGAGGAAGTCATAGACATCCTTAAGGGAAATAATAAATCAGAACCAGAGGAACAAGAACAGCCCCAGGAGAACGTGAAAAGTACGTGGGAAATAGAATGCGACCAAATCAGAGAAGAGGAAAAGCTCGTGGAAAACTTACAGAAAGCCAGAGACAGTTTGAAAGAAGTTATCTCGAATGTCGAGAGCCCACAGAAAGCAGAGGAGTTCAAGGTTGAGTTTGATGCATCTGAATATGGCTCAGCCATAAAGGAACACAGAATGTACTTGGTAGGATTCGTCAGAAGACTCAAAGCAACGTGGAACGAGGATACACCAATAGTCGAACAGTTAGAATCTGAAGTGCCTTCTGTCGAAAAGATGAAGGAAGACCTTGAAAAAGAGGTTGAACTCAAGGACCAGAGGATTGCGGAGCTGAATAAGTTAGTTGGTGTCGGTACAGGTTCACAGACAGAGTCAGACTGTTGGATAACAGAGATCCTGCAGGCCCAACTGGATACAACCAGTCGTGAGAGTCAGCTTCTGTCAGAGGAGATCACCAAGGCCAGGGAACAGACCGACTGGCAACAAGAGACACTGAACGCCATGCAAGATCGCCTGGATGAGGTCGAAACTCTCTTCAGTGAGAAGAAACAAAAGAAGAAAGTCGTCAAGTCGAATATGGTAAAGGTTCTCCGTATGTACTCAACGGCAATGGAGACGATTGGGGGTGTCTCCAAGAAGAAACGTAAGACTGAGGAAATAAATGATCGTACTGATGAGCAAGACGTGGGCAACGACTCTGATCAAAACGCCACTGAGGAATCAGGAGATTCAATAAGCGGCACCGGCTCTGTACAAGACGAAGATTCTGATGAAGAGGTGGATGAAGAAGCGTCCGACGAATCAGATACCGATTCCTCCGAAACGTCCTCGGAACAGAGTGGCAGAGAAACAACTTCACCAACACCGTCTTCCTCTAGCTCAAGAGAGACAATGTCGTCTGCTGACACGCCTGAGTAGACCATCTTATCTCGTCACATCCTTTTCAGAAGACCAAACACCTCATCGTCTATTCCAGCCAAATCCATTCATCAATAGACTATTCTAAAGGCCTTTATGTGTAGGCATTTGCTGTATGAAGTTGTAAGCAATTTGCTGTAAGATGACTTAAGAATGGCTCAAATCTGATTTGTCTTGTTACTTTGCGCATTTAGTCATAGTCTTTTAAGACTGACTGGCTGAGAGGGAGGAGGCATTTATTCACTATTGCTCGATCTACAAATGGACCACTAGAAGAATAGCTAAGCTAAATGCCAACGCTAAATGAGGATCTAAATAAAGTCAAGTCAAATCTACTTGTATATAAAACGCAATAATGAGCAATGACTCTGAAAAACATTTTCTGGAATGTTCTTATGTTTGTTTATTTGTTTGTTTGTTTATGAATGCTATCACAATTTGTATAAAAGTGGTTATTATGCTACACTGTAATAAGCAAGCATAGACGCATCTTATATTTTACTAGCAATATGATAAACAAATCAGTCTCTGTACAGGAATTGTATGGACGTCATTTTCTTTCAGAAATACATCAATTTGTTTCGCATGTGTGCGCATGAAAGTTTTAAATTTCCGCTTGTGTTGTACATGTATCATTTTCTTGCAAATAAAATATACATCAATCATCAACTCGTCTCACTTCCGTTTCCTTCCAGCGATATCACTACCATGTAGAACAATGATGTGTAAAGACATACAATAGCCTTTTTCTATACACATAAACACTGTTTTCTGCATAACTCAAAGATCATATCATCATAAACACATCTAGTATGCTATTGTGTATGTCATGCGTTTAGAAACTATGATCAGCCCTTCGAATTTCAAACATTCTGGGAGACATTGCGTAATTGTATTAAGAGAATATTCCCCTAGAATATATATTGATCTTTTAAGAAATGATAGCCAAATTTTGCGTTTTTATAACATATAATTATGTGAAGAATTTATGTTGAACCGGGACCTTCCGAAGGTACGCGCAACTTAGTATCGTTTGTGTTATTTTTTATTCCTTCATGTCGTTCTTGCGTGCAATCGACCGCTTATGTTATAAGACACGCCTCAATCTAACGAATGTGGGGTCGACACCCCAGTAAATAATGACACACGTAGTTCGTTTCACCATGGCTACATGTCCTCTTCGTGGCAGCCCGGTAATTATACTCCCCATGGTGACAAGCGCTGTGCATCGCAGCAAGCATTTCATTGCCTGCTAGTGCCATGCCAACATCAAGTGTATTGGTGTAAACAAAACCGTCTAGTCTTATGGCAACACTGCTGCGACTAGAGGCAGACGGTGGCATTGAGCTCGCTCGCAGCTGTATATGAAGGTATCTAAATGTTTTTATGTTGTCTGTTCCTTAATATAACTCTGAAGCTGGTAATTGTCCCAGAATAAGGGTTACTGTAGCACAGCGTCTTATAAAATAACCAGCGTACGAAATTGTGTAGTTGACATACATTGCACAAATCCATGTATATTGCACTGTATTCTGTTGTTACGTATACGCCGCCAGTTAGATTGTAGGTGGCGTTAGTCTTTGGTGTTTTAAGGGCGTTTCGTTTTTATCTTTCACTTTTGGGAGGAAATTTGACAACAATACGGACGTATAAGAATGTTTTCTACGAAATGCTGTATTGTCCTTTAGTCTAAGGTTTGAATACATATATATATATGGAGCTTTTTAAAATCGTACAACCAATCCAATATCCAATAGGCGTCTTGATAACATAGATATGGCAAAAACCTCCTGGTGAGAACTAATTTTTAGCCTCTTAGAGTTGAAATAACATGCAGGGAAAATGTCATTAATAATTCATGAGCATATATGATATGTGACCTTTGAGAGTGGATGTGACAGGTGTCCAATTTTAGTTTCTGTTGCTTCACTTTAATGGCGACAGTTCTTTTAACATCACTGTCATAATTGTATTACAGAAAGTCAAACAATAGACTTCAAGCGACACATATCCTGTCCTAGAAGATAGAGATATCTGAGCTAGCTACACCATGGATCGCATCAGGGAAGAGGAGGAGCAAGAAGTCAAACAAGAGGGAAAAGACAATGCACAAGCCAAAAAGGATGAGTCTCTAAAAGACAACCAAGGGGCAGTGAACGGAGCGGATGAGGCAGAAAAAGTCAGCGAGGAGACCTCACATCCGACTGAAGCAAAGAAAGGTGAAGACAAGCAAGATGGAGGGAAAGCCGAGAAAAGCGGTGACAAGACAGAAACTTCACAGGAACAAGAACGAAACCACTCTGTGTCAAACGGGGAGAACACATCAGAGAAACCTGGTGGTGATGAAGACAAAAGGAGTGGTCAGATGGATACGGATGGAAGAGACCGAGGTGAGGCCGACAAGAAAGGCGATGAGAAGAAAGAATCACAGAAGAATCAGGAGAAGACTTCGGATCAATCCGCGGTAAATGGCGAAAACACAGCGACTAAAACTGATGGAGAAGGCGGCGAGGGTGATAAAGAAGACACAGCTGGAGACAAGGCCACAGAGGCAACAGGAGATAGTACCAAGGGAACTGAGAAGTCGGATAGTAAGGAGGAAGATGCTGACCAAAACCGCGGGGAGGAAGGTAGCGGCGAAAACGCTGACAAGAAGAACAGTTCACCTGACGAACAGGGAGAAGCCTCAGAGGAGAATCAAGAGAAAGATCACAGCGAACAAAACCAGGGCGAGGAAGCTAGCGGCGAAAACGGGGGGAAGGACGAAAATTCCCCGGCAGAACAGGAAGAAGAAGCGTCCAATGAGCCCAAAGAAGCAGCAGAGAAGGGCAAAACAGGTAGCAAAAAAGCCAGTCAGCAGAAGAAGGGTGAGAAGAAAACCAAGAAAGCATCTTCAAAGAAGAAGACGGATAAGAAGGAAGCCAGTGATAAGAGCAAGACAAGCAGCAAGAAATCCAGCCAAAAGGAGGGCGAAAAGAAGAAAGGCCGAACAACCACCAGCGATAAGTCTGACAAGAAAAAGGGAGATAAAAAGAAAGAAAGCGATGAAAGTAAGTCAAGTAGTAAGGAGTCCAGTCAGGAGGAGAAGGAGAAGAAGAAGACGGAAAAAGCAGCAGCATCTAATGATGACACTAATGATAAGTCAAAAGAAGAGGAAGCGAGTACGGATGAAGGGAAGACGACAGCAGATCAGGACAAGGATGCTGAACAAACCTGTGGAGAAGATGGTAGTGACAAGGAAAAGGCTAACAATAACGGCGACTCATCGTCATCCGACACAAAGGAAAACGAAGACTCCAATCAGGACCAGAAAGATGTCGATAAAAGCAAGCAGGGTAGCAAGGCGTCCAGCCAAGAGGAAGAGGGTGAAAAGAAAGGCAAGACAGCTGCCAATAAAGGTAAATCTGACAAGGAGAAAATAGACAAGAAGGAAGCAACTGGTGAAAGTAAGGCGGAAAAGAAACAAAAGAATGCTAAGGAGAACAGACAAGCGGGAGCGACGGCGCTACCAAGAAAGGAAAAGGAAGCAAGGATCAAGAAACTACTGGTAAGAAGTCGAGTCAGGAAGACGACAAAGAAGACAAAAAAGAGAAGAAAGCCTCAAGCGACAAATCTGACAAGAAACAAGCAACCAAGGAGAAAGAGGGCTCAAATGCTAAGACCAAGAAAGAAAATAAGGAAAAGAGTGCTAAGCAAGATAACAGTGAGGATGATGGCAGCGAAAAGGAGAACAAGAAAGGAAAAGGGAGCAAAGATCAAGAAGCAAGTGACAACAAGTCGAGTAAAAAGGAGAAGGGAGAGAAAACAGATAAGAAATCATCATCTAAAGATAAAGCTGACAAGAAACAAGCAGACAAGGAAGAAGCTAGTACGAATGAAGACGCTGGTAAGGCTGACGAAGGAGAACAACCAAGCGAGAAGAAACGCCAGCCCAAGAAGAAAAACTCCAACGTGAAAGCCAGGATCGACTGTTGGAGGAAGTGAAGGGCAACTCATGGGGGGCCTGGATTCCATTGCCCTCTGCAAAAAATGCATGCATCTCAACCAAAGACTTTGCTATACCGCTGCTGAGCATATATTGAGTATATTGAACATTACGTATTTCATAGTGTACTAGACAACCAATGCTTCATTTGTAACACACGTTTATAGCCTTTAGAAATTGCATTCACATCAACGTTTAAGCGTTAGCTTGGATTTAAAAAATAGACATACATATTTCTACTGTCAATGTCTTGTTTGTTTGTCTGCTTGTGTGATTTTGAAGGGATGGAGATGATTATGTCAGTGATGTAGTTGTAACTTGTTTTAGAAAGAGGTTACGTAGTGTTCGTGGGATTTGTATAATAAAGAAAACTACGTTTGGCAAGGAAATAGGAATTTTATTCCAACATGCATGGGTGTGTGCCACAGTCGGACAATTAAAACGTCACCTTATAATCGTATCTGACAAGTGAAATGACTTTATTATGCTATTACGCCTTTATTACTCCGTGAAGGAGGTGAGGACCTCCGGACGGAGTGTTCTGAACAGTCGTGTTTTCGTGTTCGCAGGTAGAACGAACACGTGGTTCCCTTTAAGTTGATATCTGATACTAGCAACCCACTTCTGTATTAGCATGGAGGTCTCTTTTTCTACCTCCATGGTATTAGTTAGGTTATCCTTATGAAAATGTAATTGATACGTACTTACTTAAGTTAGTAGATGCCATACTCTGTACCATCTACAACTATTGTGCAATAAAGTTATCATTATTATGTAAAATAGGCATGCAACGCCGTCTGTATTTTTGCAGTTGCTGTTTTCGCGGTCAATGTAATATTTCAGATGCACCCCTACAATTATGAGGCAAATTGGAATGGTCCAGAAAAAACCGTTGTTTGGAATTTAATCACGTAAAAATTAACCGAAGCCTAAACCTCTGCTTGGGGAGTGCTAGAATTTGCAATACCGGTTATACTGTACTTCCGTCCTTGAACAAACCTAGGGCATAATCGGCCGTTTTAGCCCCACGAAATTCGTATCCGGACTGCTAAAATTGGTCAAATGCAACAATATAGAGCGTAATCGGTGTAGTCTACGTAAAGCGTAACCATATGATGCCTGGATTTAGGAGGAGCAAGCTTGTCCGAATGCAACATAACATACATG